CAGGCAGGGACTGGCAGGCAGGGAGCAGACCAGGGGGGGCCGTGGGGGAGGGGGGAGGCGAGGTGGGGGACTAGTTGAATGTCAAGAAACAGGTTGATTGCTATTTGTTCACTCACCCGCGGTCCTCAAGGAAAGTTTAGGGCGGAAGCGGGGTAACTTAGCAAGGCAGAGCCCGCCCTCCCCGGTGGCGCCAGGGCTCAGACCCATCTGGCTGCGGTGGCCCCGCGGGTCCCAGACCTCTCACAGGGTAGCGCGTGCCAGCCAGTTCGCCAGCGGGTTCCCAGTTGGCGAAGCCCAGCCGCAGGTCAGCTGCTTTGCGGAGCCGCGGGCTGGAGGTCGCGGCAGCTGGCAGCGCAGTCTGGGGCTGCTGAGGGGAGCGAGGCGCGTGGGGGGAAGCGGGTTGCGAGGCCAACGGCCGGAGGCGCGCGCGCGGGGTCCCGGCCCCACTGGGGTACAACCAGCGGCTGTAAGTACGTCCAGTAAACGGGCGCAAAAGGGGACACACGAAGGTCCGGAGAATCTGGGGGTGTGGGGGAAAGAATACTGGAAAAGGCGGCGTGGACATTATTGGTGGAATGGAAGGTAACGCAGAACCGGATGATGGGAGGCTGTGCTGGCTGGCACCTGACTCCCCTGAGGACCTGAATATTACGGAGCAGACGACAAATGATGTCTGGAGCCAGCAGCTGAGGCCAGGCTTCAAGGGCTTTGCCAGCTAAACGCAGGAGTTAAAATCCTAAGGGATTTTTGCCAGAGTTCTTGTTGATGTGCGTCTCGCCGACACTTAGTATCGTCCTACCTAAATTTCCAGGTGAATGCATGCAAAATAGTATGCATGAAGTTTTCACTGCTACTAATGTGTTTTCACTCTCACCAATAAGGTTGACATCTTTGTTACAGTGAGGGGGCACTCCTGAGCCCCCAAACCTGCCTTCCTGCAGTCCACCCTGTTATGCCTTTACATGTATCAGTTAAGCCACCAGTCTAAAGTGTTTTATTAAGGCAGCCATAGAAAACTAAAACCTCCTCCCTCCTGGAGTCGCAGACAGGAACTGAGGCTGTGATGGGAGTTGGGGACAGGGGCGTGGCCTCAGGCCACCAGATGGGAGGCTGGGACCAGGACCCAGATGGGCTCCAAGTACCTGCCCAGCCGGTTTCTCCACCTATCGCCTTTCCTCCCACTGTGGGCATAGATTACTCTTTCTGAACACACCTCCGGTCAGATTTCCCCCACATAAAGCACCTTCAGCTGCCCAATCCCAACTACCCAGCAAGACCTCAACAAACTCTTAGGCTCCCGACCCCCAGTTGTGCCGGTTGGGACCGAAGTCAAACATCCACTGGCAGCAGTCACCTGCAGCCTCCCGGGCACTGCCAGCACAGCTTCCCTGTCAAGTTCTGGAGCCGCCGAAGGGAGCAAGGAGGCGCGGGGAGCTGGGTGGAGACCAATGGCCGGGGCAGCGGCAGGCCACCAGATTCCCTCCAAATTCGCCTTTGAATTCCTGATGAGCTTTCAGGGATGCCGATACTGACCTGGAGCCACCTCTCCCCAGGACCCATCATTCTCCCCTCCATCAAAGGCCAGCTCACTGCTGCCCCCGAGCCCAGGCCTGGAGTCTGCCCTGCCTGGTCTTGCCAGGCATTCTCTGCTGCCAAGCCTGAGGCTGTGTTCAGACTCGATGAGGTCTCCCAACTAAGGATAAGGTTGGGAGGCTGTGCTGCTTTTTAAAGGGAAAGACTTACAGGAATTTGAACCAGAACTGGATCGACGCTAATGCCACGGATCTCAGGGCAGCTGAGTGGACATGCAGAGGGCCCGGGCCACCCACACAGACCTCTCTGGAGACCCTCTGCTGCGGGTGCCCCTGGGGTGCACAGATGTGCGAAGGGAAGGGGCTTCCCCAGAGCGCACATGGAGCCATGAGAGGGGAGTCTTAGGTCAGCCTGAGCGGCCCTCCCCCCACCCACTGCCTTCGTTCTTCCTCACCCTCCCAGCCCTTTTCTCATCTCTGCCTATTTTTTGTGGCCCTGCTGAGCTCTGGCATATACCGCTGATGCTGAAATGGAGCAGGGAAACTATAAAACTTGCAAAATCTAGAAGAGTGGGGAAAGGGGTAAGGAAAGAAGGGAAGGAGAAAACCTCCATGGGGAGCCGAGGAGGAGACGCAGAGGCACTCAGCAGCGAATGAGAGGCTGTGGGCTGGGCCCGGAGCCTCCAGGGACCTGGCACCACCATCTGCCACCCCCACCCCCAGAGGATTCAGACCTAAGCCCTAAAACCACAATCTTTGCTGGCCCCAAAAGAGCCAGCCAGTAGCTCTCGCGTGCTTCAGCCGGAGGGGCTTGTTGGTTAGTTAGATACTAACGAGCAGCCCCTGGAAGGGTCTCAGCAGACAGACAGCCCCACTGCAGTCCTTGGGGCTTGAGCTGAGGGGTGGTGCCGGGTCTCGCCCACCCACTTCTGCTGCCGTCGGCATTAGGACCCTGCAGGTGCAGGTAGCTTTATCAGCTGCGAGAGCTGAGCACACATTTAGGATCCGGTTGGGAGAGGTGAGTCAGTCCAGTGGGGACAGGGCACCTGGAGTCAGCTCTGCAGCCCGGGTTGAAGTGCACCACCACCCACACCCATGGCACCTGGAGAAATGCTGGATCCTCTTCCAGACCCCTTCATCCTGCAGCCTCCTGCCTTCCACCCGGTGAGCCATCCCTGCCATCGGGAACCACCTAGGTCTCAGGGCTCTGCCCTTCCAGCTGGCCCAGGACCCCCGTGGGAGGTGGAGAGGACCTCAGACGAGCACCCTCTTTCCCCAGCACCTGAAGATCTGAGTTTAGCTGAACATCTGAACTTAGCAAGTGGCCGATGGGCACTGGGGGTGGATGACTATTAGGGTCCCTGGGTCCTTGTATTTTAAAAGTAGTAGAGTCTGGGGCCCTCCCTGGTGGCACAAACTATGAAGCGATCCTATGAAATGATCTTTAGCCACTGCAGCATGAGTTCAACCCCAGGGCAGGGAGCTGACCCACATGGTGTGGCAGACCTCTCCTGGCCTGCCCGCTGCTCCCCTCAGCAGTGTATTTCAGTTCACCTGCCTGTTCTGCTCCCTTCTCTGTCTCTGGTGAAGCCTCTCACACTCCACATCCCTGGTTTGCACCCCAGTTCTTGTATGCCTAAATAAATCAGTATTTGAGGGGAAAAAAGGATGAAGATAGCATTAAAAAAATTTTTAAAAAGGTAGGATTGAGGGTGACTATACCCCGGGAGAGACAGTGATTACCCTGTTAGGTCCTTACCTCCAAGGAGGTTTGGCGGCTGGGTCCTGTCCCACGCCCAGGAGAGCTGGCTAATTACAGCACAGGTCACCTCAGGCCTGGAGCCTGGAGGTGGAGGGTAAAGTTCTGTGCCTATGACCTGGGCTCTCCCGTCCCTCCCCTGGCGCCCGAGTAATGAAGCAGCAGCCAGTCCTTGCTTTGCAGGCTGCAAACCCCCAACTGGAGAGCAGCACTGTTGGGGCGCAGCTCTGCCAGGTGGTTTGGGTTTCTGAAGGCCGCTGGGATTCGGAGAGCACAGGCAGCCTGAGACACTCCCCAGCGTGCACCTCCTCACTTCTCACATCTGCTCTGCCCCACTCCACACTCGGCCGCGCTGGGCCTCCCAGCCTGAACAGCCTGGTCTCTCCCAAGCCAGCGGCCAAGACCAGGCTAGACAACACAGGGAAGTGTTCTGGAACAGGGGAGGGAAGGAGTAACTCAGACACCAAAGTCCATGATGGCGAAGGTATCAGAAATGCCAGGAGTCTTGAAAGTCAAGTTCAATTTCATAGGGTGGAGAGGGAGTGGGGATCAGCCCCACTGGGTAGGAAATAATGAAAGATGCTCTGTGTGGGGTGCCTGGCAGCTTCTGCAGGGAAGGCAAGCCTGAGAGGTGGGCGGGACATCGTACAGGTCTCTCAGGCATGCACTCAGGGCTGTTCTCCAGTCCCAGCTTGTCCATCCTCCGTCTCCCAGGTCCCAGACTCTGGCCAATAAATGGCCCTCAGGAAGCCTCCTAGAAGCCAAGGTGGCATCCAGTGGATGCAGAGTTTCACTGGAGAGAGGGACTGGGCCGTGGCTCGGCTTCCCCAGCAACAGGGCTTTGCTGTGTGGAGGTGCAGGGGTGAGGCTGGATGAAAGTGACGGAACTTTTCAAGGAAAATGAATGCCTCTCCCGCTAGGACATTTTCTATGGGGGAACAAGAGTGGTGTTTTCTGCTTCTCTCCCACCCCCCAACCTGGGTCCTGATCCTTTTCCCACCCACACATGGGGTGCTTCTCCCCTCCTCCAGGTGGTCCCCTATGTCACAACCATTTTCGGTGGCCTGCGTGCTGGCAAGATGGTCATGCTCCAGGGAGAGGTGCCTCAGGATGCACGCAGGTAAGGGGTGTTCCGGGGTGCCAGTGCTCAGCTGGAGGTGCCCCACTGGGGCTCTGAGTGGAGGTGCCCATGAAGGGCCTCACCTCCTGCCAGGTTCCAGGTGGACTTCCAGTGCGGCTGCAGCCAGCACCCCCGGCCAGACATTGCCTTCCACTTCAACCCTCGCTTCCACACCACCAAGCCCCACGTCATCTGCAACAGTCTGCACGGGGGGCACTGGCAAGCCGAGACCCGGTGGCCGCGCCTGGCCCTGCAGAGAGGTGCCAGCTTCCTCATCCTCTTTCTCTTTGGAAACGAGGACGTGAAGGTGTGTGCAAGGGAAGGGAGGGGTCAGTGTCTCGGTGGCGTCTCCACCTCCTCCAGCTAAACTCCCCTGTCGTCGTGTCGAGGGGCAGGAGCGGAAAGTCCAGCACAGTAAGGATCAAGGAGACGCCAAACCCAGTTCCTAACTGCCCTGGGCCCACCGGCCTGGTCCACATGGCAGCAAGGAAACTCTCTGGTGGCAGGGCCTGGAGGGCCGCTGAGAGTGCCTGCCCAGTGCCCGGCACCATTCTGACATCAGCTCAGAGGTCCTCACAAACACCCAGGAGGTGGGTGCTTCATTCTCTCCCCTGAGGGTGAAAGGACAGGGGAGGAGAACTTGACCTCTGGTGTGACTTCCTGCCAGAAAGATGACAAAGGAGTCTTCAGTCTTCTCCACAGGGACGGGATTTGTGGGACCTGGCCCAGGAGGGAGGGGCTGTGGGGAAGAGGCCCCCACAGCCCCGAGCCTAGCCCCTCACCTGGGGTGGGGGTGCGGTGGGCAGGTGTACGAAGATGAAGGACACATGGGGAGTGCGGTGTGGGGGGCAGCGAGGGGTCCTGGGGTTGCCTCGGTTCCAAGGCCAGGTCTGTAACCCTGGGAAGGTCACTTAAGCACCCCGAAGCCTCAAGTATCTCTTCTGAAAATGGTACCTGCCTCTCAGAGTGGGTGAGAGTTAAAGGGAGAATTCCAGGGAGGTGGCCAAACTCCCTGTGGGGTGGGAGTGGTCTGAGCTCAGCACTTGCCCTGTCTCTCAGGTGAGTGTGAACGGAAAGCACTTCCTCCACTTCCGCTACCGGCTCCCGCTGTCACGGGTGGACACCCTGGGCATATCCGGTGACGTCTCCGTGAGGGCCGCGGCATTCCTGAACAGCAGCGTGAGTTTCCTCGGGCCCAGGACTGGACAGCATGGCCTCAGATTCCCCTGATGCCCTGGACAGGCCTTGGGGCCCCTCCTGCGCAGACACCCCAGTTACAGCCCAGTTACAGACAGAGGGGGGCCATCAAGGCATCAGCACTGTGAGGTGAGGGGGCAAGGAGACGCAGGTCAGGACCCCGAGGCCTTGGGCAGAAGTCTGTGCTGAAGAGCATTCTGGGTAAGTGGAAGAGCTGGGGGGCCAGTGACCCAGAGATGTGGACTGTGGGCCCCAAACAGTCCCCCATCCCCTGGGGAGCTTATTAAAAAGGCAGATTCTGGAGCACACAGCAGAGATTCTGAGTCAGTGCGGCTGAGGTGGGGCAGAAGCTTCCACGTGGCCAGAGTGCCCTGCCTGAGATCCACCTACAAGGTCCACATGAGGAGCCCTTGAGGCCAAAGTCAGCCACATTCCTGCCCACTCCCTGGCATAGCAGGGGCCGAGCAAGGGGCTCGCCAGCGGGCAGAGGCCCTGAGTCCTGTTCGTTGCCTTTTCTCTTCCAAACAGCCCTTCATGGAGGGTGGCAGTGAATACCCAGCTGGACACGTGAGTCTCCTGAGAACAAGGCTGGCCCTTGGGGTGGAGCCACAGCTGAACCCCGCCCTGTGGCTGGCCCGCCTGGGCTGTTGCTCACTGCATGGCCACCCTTTCCCTCAATGCAACACCACCATGGATACAGCGGGCTGGGCCTCAGTCCCTGGAGAAGCCAGTGAGGAAGACAGCTAAGACAGCTGGGTGCTGGCTGCCAGGATTGAGCCCAGGATTCCTATCAACGACCCCTTTAGAGGGAGCTTTCAATCCCCCGGGTGGGCAACCCTGCAGGGTAAAGCGGGGTGAGACCCCCACACTGGCCCAGCCTCCCAGTGGGACGACAGCCTGTCTAGTTCCCCCCATCTTCCAGGTCTGGTGCCCTCAGAACACAAGAGGGCTCCCTTAGGCTTTCCGGACCACCTGTTTTATTTCTGAGGGATAAACTCCAGATATCCCAATTTCTGGTGATAACAATAGCGTCAAGGGATGCTCACTCATGGAGCAAACGCCAAGTGGCCCCGGGCCCTCTTTCTTTTCCTCGCAGCCCTTCCTGTCCGAAAGCCCGTGTCTGGTGAGTGACCAACCTCGTCCTGCTCCATCAGGCAGCCCCGCCTGGCGGGAAAGGCCCTGGGCACAGGGCTTCCCCTTCCTCCATAGACTGCGTGCCACATCTGGGCTACAGCTTGGGCCGAGGCTCCGGCTTCATTTGGCCTTTTCTCCATTTACTCTGCACTGGGAGTTGGTGTGTTTTTCTGCCCAGCCCGGCCCAGGGCCAGCCCTAGAGTAGAGGTCAATCATCCCAGCTTCCAGTGGGTGGGGAGCAGCCATCACAGTCTGGGTACAGCGATGGGGGTCACAGGGGCCTGCCTGGGGAATGAGGTGGGGGTCCTCTCTGGCCACTCGAGAATCGCCTTCTCAGTCATCTCCCTGTCCCTCCAGGAGCCGCCCTGCTCCCGTGTGCTCCCCCGGGGACTCTGGCCAGGGCAGACCATCACTGTGAGGGGACTGGTCTTGCCAGAGCCTAAGGAGTAAGTGTCCACATGGAGGGAGGAGCCGCCTGCGTGTTTATTATATGCTATTTTATTATTATAAAAGGTCTCACCTCTTTCATCTCCCCACCACTACTTAACCCCCACCTTGCAAATTGGAGCAGCAGAGAAGTAGACAGAGCCTGTGAAAGCCAGACTGGGGTTGGGACTGGGGGCTCAGGCTGCCTGCAAAGCTCCAGCAACCCCACCTCTGGGAACATCTTCCCTGCAGAACACCCGGTCAGGCCCACCTGACCGGGGCAGCCTGGCCTCGGGACGGGCCCTAGGCAGGGCCAACTAGACCCTGAGAAGACGCTGCATCCCTGGCATCACGGTGCGGGGCTTAGCAGTCAGGAGGCCCAGAGTAAGACTGGGGCTGCGAAGTGGGGCCTGGAGGGACACAGGAACTGAGAGGAAGCTGCTGACTCCTCCCACAAGGGGGCGCTCGCGCTGTTTTCCAAAACTGGCGCCTGCGGCTGAGGCCCTGTCCATCCGCTCCGCAGTTTCACGCTGAGCCTGCGCGACGGGGCCGCCCACGTACCTGTGACGCTCAGGGCTTCCTTCACAGACAGAACGCTGGCCTGGATCTCGCCCTGGGGAAGGAAGCAGCTGATCTTGGCCCCCTTCCTTTTCTACCCCCAGCGATTCTTTGAGGTGGGTCAAAACCCCGTGGCCTGTCTCTGGGGTGGCTGCGGCCGTGCTGGTGGTGGGTATGGAGCACAGGGCCACAGCCCACCTCGGACACTAGGGGGCGCATCGAGGTGTTCGACCCAGCCTGGGAAGCCATAGGCCTTGGGGTGGGGCCCTGCATCCAGAATCCTAGCTTTAATTAATCAGGGCGGACCCCACATCAGCCTCATTGAAAAGCCCTCGCGCGTAGCGCGGCTCCAGTGTGAAGTTAGGGCTGAAGGCCACTCCTCCCACGGGGGGAAACCCTTGCTGCAGCCAGTGACGCTGAGGTCACAGTGAGCTGGTGACCAGATGGCCCCAGTCCTGTTCTTTGCAATGCTGGAGGCCCAGTGACCCCTGAAGGTAGGAGGGCCCCTGAGTGGCAACAGGCAATGTCCTTTTTCTCCTTTCCCAGGTGCTGCTCCTGTGCCAGGACGATGGGCTGAAGCTGGCACTCAATGGGCAGGGTGTGGGGGCCACCAGCCTGGGCCGGCAGGTCCTGGAGCGGCTGCGGGAGCTCCGTGTCAGTGGCAGCGTCCAGCTCTACTGTGTTCACTGCTGAACACAGTGGATCTGGCTAGAGAAGGGGAGGGCAGCCTGCCCCCAGCATGGGCCCCTCTTCTCCTCCCATCAAACTGACCTGTGTCCCTACTATGCCAGGTAGAGCAGCTTCGGGAACCAGGAGCCTGAGTCTGAGGGGGTGCTGGCCCCACAGCACCCTCTGATCTCCCCCCCTAGCTAGGGTGTAGCTCCATCTTCTTCATGGCTTCCACAAGGAGGACACACGTTCCAGTTCAGTGGCTCAAAGGATATAGACACTCATGTCATTCTCAGCGCACAGCTCTGGGGAGAACGGCCAAGGAGAGTAGGCAGGTCTGCTCCTGCTGGCCCCAGGCTGGGCCTGGCCATCGTCCCACTTCCAATTCAACACCACCTGTGTCCAGAGCTTAGTTACCTCCGTGTCTAAGTGTCACCCTCCAAGAAACAGAATGTGGACTAGGCGTCCCAGACTTCATTAGCCCCGGGTAGGGGGTGGGCCCATGGGCTCACACCCCCACGTGCCACTCAGTCACACTAGCCACGCTGACTTCAGAGGGCTGGAGGCACCCATGGGGTGACCAGGTGCCTGGGTACACATCTATAGCCATGAGGAAAAGGGCATGGACTCTGGAGGTAGCTGCACGCCCTGTGCTAATATTCTGCCAGCAAGGAAACTCAGGCACAGAGAGACTAAGTGAAAGGGAAAGAGAGACCAGCACCAAGGAAACAGCAAGGCTGCTAAAGACAAAATAACTTAATAATTACTAATTATGCATTTTATATATAGTGACAGGTCACATATCTGTATAGAGTAGTATACATTATGCATCTTGTAATAAAATCTGCCACATGGCTTCACATGTATAAACATGCCCTTTATGCTGTTGGCGAGAATCTCATGTAAAGTTGACAATAGAAGACTGTTTCCTTCTGGCATTTATTCAGTGTGCACTGGTATTTATTTAGCTGCCATGTTTTTATCCCCTGCTGCCTCCCCCTCCACCCAAGAGCCACACCTGGGGTCCTGCCCACCGTACAGGTGAACCATAGGAGCAGGCTTTGGTTCCACAGCAGAGTCTGCCCCCACAACGGAAGCCCTTGACTTGCCTCTCACCAGCGCCGAGCACCCCCACCCTACTCCAGCCAAAGTTGGAGGTTTCTTGGCTGCAGGTGGTCACAGAGCCGGAGTCCTGGGCCACATGGACAGGAGGGGCACAGGGAGGACACACCCATCCGTGTCAAAAGTCATGGCTGTGTGCACGATTCTTGGTATTTGGCACATTAAATCGCCAAGAAAACCAGAAAGGCATGGAGGATTTGTGGTTTAGAATCCAATTGCTGAAATGAATGGATATAATGACTAGATAATTTTAGACTGGCACCCTCCACAGGCAGAGAACAACATTGTCCACTGGGATCCAGGCAACCACATCATGTGTCTGTCACAAAGGAGCACCTTAGAGACTCCCCAGAGCAGAGGTTGTTCAATAAACATGCTCCGATCATTGTCCAGTCAAACAAGAAATCACTGCCTGCAGCCCATGATAGTCAGGATGGTTAGTGAGGGGCATGCCACCCCAAGATCCAGGCTCCCCAAGGGTAAGGTCAGTCTGCCCTGGGCTGTCCAACAGCTCTAAAGAAAATGCCGCAATCCTGTAGGGTGAGACCAAAGGTCTCTCACTCTGATGCCAAAAGCACTGAGTGCCTATGTGGTCTTGGGGCCCATAACCTGGTAGATGTCACCACTGAGTATGGTGAGCTGGGCCCTGACAAAGGAGCTGATCGGAGCAACGCTGGAGTCCCCATTCAGGGGCTGTCAACCTGTGTGCTACCTCAGGCCTGGGCTTCTGGGCTGGTCAGTTAGTAGTTCTTCGTTCTGGTATCCCGCAGCTTCCAGTCAGTTCTTATTAGCTACAGGCTGGGCTCTGCTGTGATCTGGGGATATAAGGGCCAAACCTCCAGAACTTTAAGGTTATGACCAAAGTAGGTGTCATCCCCCCAGGGCCAGAGTGGCAGTGGTGGCGATGGTGATCCCCTGGAGGATGACTGTCATGAGAGCCCATCTCTGGGGAGGTTTGTAGGTGAAAGAGGCAAGAGGGTGAGGATGATGGAGTGGAAAGACCCAGGACTTGCTATTCTGAGCCCACAGCCTAGGCAAGCAGATACTGGGTCCCATTTCAAGAAGGAGAGTTTCCAGAAATTAAATCTGGACCAGGTGTTCTTGCCAGCAGCTCATGGGGGTGGGCATGGGGGTATAGATCTATGGTAGGAAATGATCTCACATTTCCATTTAGAGCAAATGTATACCCTCCTTTTGACAAAAATTGCATTTAGCAGCTTTTCAGCATTACCAAAGTCTTCCTGAGACACTGGTTCTCAAAGTTAATTTTTCCTCAGATTATGAGTCTCAGACACTTTCCCCCACAGTACTTCTCTTCAAGTTTCTCTCCTCAGAGGTCAGCATTTTCCTCAGACACTGATCCCAATGTGCCATTTTTACTCAGATTTTACAGCTCAGACACTTCCCCAAGAACACTTCTCCTCAGATTTCTCATGGCAGATACTGTGCTTCCCTCAGATACTGATTCCCAAAGTGCCACCGTACCTGAGATTTTGCATGTCAGATGGTTTTCGAGATTACTTCTTCACAAGTTTACATCCTCAGCAGATCACATTTTCCTCAGACACTGGATCCCAAAGTGCCACTTTTGCTTAGATTTTGATCTCAGACACTTTCCAGGAAGTGCTACTCGGATTTCTCTCCTCAGATGCCAGTGTTTTCCTCAGACCAAAGTGCCACATTTCCTCAGCTTTGGCGTCTCAGTTTTCTCCAGATTTCTTCTCCTCACATCTGTCTCGCAGAGGACCACATTTTACTCAGAAACTGTTCCCCACAGTACCACTTTCCCTCAGACTTTGAATCTCCAACAGTTTACCCAGATTAATTCTTCTCAAGTTTACTTCCCCAGCGGATCACATTTTCCTCAGACATTAGATTCCCAAAATGCCATTTCTCCTCAGATTTTGCAATTCACTTTTCCCAGCAGTACTTCTCAGATTTCTCTCATCAGATATTAGTGCTTTCCTTAGATGCTGGTTCCCAAAGTGCCACTGTTCCTCAAATTTTGCATCTCACACACTTTCCCCGGGAGGACTTCTCTTCAGGTATTTATCGTCAAATACTAGTGCTTTCCTCACACCCTGGTTTCCAAAGTGCCACTTTCCCTCAGGTTTTGAATCTCAGACAGTTTTCCCCTGAGTACTTCTCCTCACATTTCTAT